AAATATGTGGTGCTCGCACCAGCTTCCTATTTTCCGTGTTCGCGGTACTTGATTTCTACACGTTACAATTACAATGAGTATTTGGCGTTGCATTCCCACAAACAACACCAAAATTTTAAACAATTTTAATTTCAACCCGAAGTAATGTAACATATTTAGTATATATAAATATGCATGCAGTATAAAGAGTCACTTATGTTTGAGGTTATCACCTTGAATTTCTCTGATGCAAAAAAGTCACACAACAATTCCCAGTTGTCTTGGTCAAGATAAAAAGTCGGCTTATTGATTTTAGCCAATTCCAGAGTTTTAAACTTCTTGTAGTGAAGATGTAGCCTGTAACGTTTTTGTCGCATACTAGATTTCAGCCTTTCAATCAAGCTTTCTTTCACACCCACATCATCAACATTGACAACCATATGCATCTGCATTTTTTGGAAGCATTTTTCACATCACAATCAAAGTAAAAATAACTAACTCATTTTTAAAGATACATACCTGCATATGATCAAATCCAGGAGTCAATCCATTTTCCTCATCTACTTCTTTCCACCTTCTAGGAACAGGGAGCACATCACGGGTAATTATACCAATTTGGCTTGAAAGCTTTGCCGACTCTTCAGGGTTTTGAGGCCTTCCAATTACTGGATCAACGTTTATCTTCAGTTTAGTCTTAGACAAAGCATATGCCTTCATGATCCCCTTGCCCATCGTTTGACCACGTACTCGCTTTGTAGGACGTGAAGTTGAATCTGTAACACATTTGTTTAAAAACAGTAACCACTTTAAAAACAGTTGCCAAGTAAAACAATCTATTATGTATTTTAGCTTAATGTTTCATCACTTACCATTTTTTTCCATCCTCTGTATTTGTTATTTTCCTCTCCCTTATTTTTCTGTTTTTTTCATGTTTACCACTATTCCATTCTATTTGACTACACATTAAGTAGTTTAATATATTAAATTGATTAGTATAGTTAGTACTTAGTATACTTTAATAGAGTTTCATAAGCTCTCAGTATAGCTATATACTTTTGATGAACATCCATCCATGCAAATGACCTAACTATTATATATTGGTTCTTCCCATAATCAGATTCATATACTAAACATACAAACAACTAATTATACATCAACATTTAACTTCCATCTGTATATTCTATTAGAGGTTGCATGAGTGTAAAAAAATGTGGTCCAGGAATTCTAGCTACTCAATATACAAAAATGTGTTATACCTCCAAGCACATTTGTTTGTGGTGTTTGGCCACGTATGCTCTCAGTTGGTGCAGGTTCAACATTTTGATTTGATGCAGTGCCATGCCTTGGACTAAGAGGATGTCCAGTGTTTAATGTTGTCTCAATGGATGCCACGTGTGTTTTGTCTAGAGGTCTTTTGGTTGTTGCTTTTGTAGTTGTCGAATTACCTTGACCACTTTTAGAATTATGATGCACAACATCTTGTTTTTCCCAGTTGTTTTTTCTTTTCAGGTTACCTTTAAATCCAGGAGCCATTCCTAAAACATATATAAAAGAGTTAGACAGAAATAGGTGCTAACTAAAACTAAATCTAGACACACTGCACAATTACAATGACACACAGGCTGCACATACATCATAATATACACACGCACTTAAAGATACAATGCAAAAACTAGACTCATGCACTAACACATGTTATATCTACACACACTGCACAAATACACATAAACACAATGCACATACACCATAATATACACATTCACATCCACTTAGACATACTAGTATACACACATACAAACTTATACACACTGCAATTTTTAGGCACCCCTGCTTGTAATTGCTTATCAATTGTTATTAGTTATAAATTTTTTCTAGTGAAATTAACAAGCATATTTGATAAGAAATTAATTGAATAAACAACTCAAATCCCAGAATTTGTAAAGCATTTCACAAAAAATGATGAAAACTACGTAAATGAAACTACTGTACATCAAGTATTAAATTATAACTCAAAGTATGATGAAGAATTTTGAACATATGTTTACAATTATTGAGCAGACATTATTGAGAATAAAATATACTCTGTATCAATTAAACTGGTAGTTTGAAAAGGAATTCTTATAATACAAGAAATATGGCAAAAGCATTATCAATTAATTTACTGAGCCAATCAACAATACGCGTAGACATATAATATCTAAACCTGTTGGGAAAATTTACCGAAAGAGCGCCCCTTGAAAGAGAAGACTCCACGAAAGAGTATAAAACTAGGGTTGAGATATCGTGTGAAGACTGAAGAGTATCGAGAATTCAATTATATATGTATCCTATTATACAAAGTAAATTTTTGGGAGACCGCCAAAACATAAAAAAGTAGCGGCAAACCTAATTTAAGATTTTGTTGCTAAATTTAAATTACTAATAAAACCTATTAGCGGAGTAATACGATAAAACCAGAACAAGATTTGAGATAACTCAAATAAGACCCGTATATTTTTACATATTTAATGATTTAGTATAGATAATTAACAAATTATGGAAAGAATGGAAGATAAAAATTACCATTGGTGAAGAGCTTTTCAAGTGTATCCTCATCTTCCTTAAAATTGCATCGCAATAAAACTTCAAAAGTTCAAAGAAGCTGCAGGGTAGGACAAATCGGTGTGATATACGTAGTATAAAAACTTGGTTCAGGCAAGAGCTATGGGGAGGAAGAGTATTCTCTAGAAATGAGATCCAGTATGTGCAAAAGGATTGACTTTAAAATCAATTGATAAATATAGTGGAATTAATGCTATTTGTGGCCCTAAGTGGTGAATGAAATGGGTGCACTTTTGGATTAATTTTATATTCTCAAATTCTAAAATAAGTTGTTCAACTTTGATCGATTATATGTTTATCTAATCAATTATCGAAGTAATATTGATAATATGAAAATTATATAAAATGTTCTTTGTTTAAAAATGTTATCATAAAAGTATAAATTTATTAAGTTTCACATAAATATATTAGTCAAAATAATGGATCAAAGTTTATCACTTTTGATTGGAAAAGCCAAAGATGGCTACATAAAAAAGGATTGAGGTAGTACATTTTTTTATCTGTCTAAGTCTGATCTAATCTGATCTAATATAATTTTTTTGAACTGTAATCAAAGATATGATAGATGCTCGTTTTATTGGTTTTATTGTAATCGAAGATATGATAGATGTCTGATCTTATATGATAGATGTTTGTTTTATTGTATTTTACTGTTATCGAAGTATAGTCTCGTCTAAATTAATCTATTTAAGTCTCACTAGATCTAATCCGATAAATTGACTTAAATTAATTTAATTAAAAACATCTATAATCCATCATTCTCTTACACTAGTAATACTAACAAAAAGTAAGGTTATAGTTACTTTTCTGCCTGTATTGGCTGAAGTTACTATAAAAGATCTTTTTCGCTGTTTTTCATATAATTTTTTCTTCATTTTATTATTGAAGTATATTTTAAATATAATTTCTCATAAATAGGGAACATCAGTCAATCCAGCCACTTCAACCAACACTTTATAAATTTTAGCAGAATTAGCCAATATAGATGATTTGGGTATTACCAAACAGGCTACAAGATGGTTGGATTGGCTTATTTTGGTAGATCGAATTGTGAAAAAAAATTATATTTAAAAAAATATGAAAATATCTAAAATAGTCATCTACGGTAACTTCAGTTTAGGGCTGGGTATATCGGTTTTCAGTTCGGTTTTTATTGATTTCGGTTCGGTTAGGAACGGGTTGGAAGAATTATTACCAAACAAAAATCATACTATTTTTCGGTTTGGTTCGGTTCGGTTTGGTTCGGTTTGAATTTGTTAATTTTTAATAATATATGAAGGTGTTTTTGAATTTTTTTAGTTCGGTTCGATTTCATTCGGTTTTTATCGGTTTCAGTTCGGTTTAATACGGTTTGGAAGAGATAGTACCAAACTCAAACCAAATTGCATACAGTTCAGTTTCGATTTAGTTTAGTTCGGTTTGGTATGGTTCGATTCGGTTAAACCAAACCATTATGTCCATCCCTACTTCAGTCAATGAAGCCTACAAAGCCTGCAAACCAATTTGGGCCTTGCTGGTATGTTTGGGATCGTATCGGGGCGGAGGCTGATATCTCAACATGCACCTTATCTTTTTATATTTTAAAATCCGTTTTCAAATAAAATTACCCAAATATATGAATTATAAACAATAAGACAATAACAATCTCCAAAATCCCAAACAAATGAATACTAGTATATCTTAATTTTGAGTTTAATTTTGTTCAGGCCGTCCAAAAATAAGAAAACTCGGAGCGGTCGTAGTTCGATCCGGATTAGGGTTGGTTTCTGGGTCTCAATTCGTTTTTCCAGATTTTTTTTTAAATTTTGTCTTTTCGAATTTATTCTACCCCCACCCTCTACCTTCAAACCCACCCAAACCACCTGGCCCCACCCACCTAGCAGCCAATTGGGCCCCAGCCCCGGTATCAACTGACCGGGTCAAGACCGGTTCACACTTTCCCTAGACCGGTTCACACTTTTCTAATTGGGCCCAGACCGGATCACACTTTCCCTAGCCCGTAGCCCACCCCAACTTCTCCCATTCGGGCCCCAGCCCCGGTATCGACTGACCGGGTCAAGTCATGCCTGCACAGTACCAAGTCGGCACGGTCCAGGTCTGGTCAGGCCGGTCCAGGTTGGGCCAATCTGTCCGAGTCCATCTCTTTCCATAACTAATAAGCAGACCAATATATAGTATCGGAGCTTAGAACAATAACCAACACAATTTGGGATGTTTTTACTTGGACTGTAATTTGCTGGTCTGATCTGGTCTGGTCTGAACTGGTCTGGTCTGGTCTGGTCTGGTAAGGTCTGGTTTCTTTGTATTTTTATAACTATCCAAGTCTGGTCTGGTCTGAACTGGTCTGGTCTGGACTGATCTGGTCTGGGGCAAATTACAGTTTAAGTAAAAACATTCTTAATAGCGCTAAAACATAATAAGCAGGATATTCTGCACTTTCCTTGCAACACACTAAGACAACATCAGTTCACAGTCAACCTCAAAGAAAGTTTAATATTCAACTTGTTCAAGCTCCTGCTATTCATCCTTCTGAACAAACTAAGTATTTTCAAACTTTGTGAAACAGAGAATAAAATAGGTCATGAGATATTAAAATTTGCATACAGATTAACATTAAAAACTACATGAACGAAGTTTAATAAAATCCTATATTCAGAACTCTCCCACCAACCATTCTGCATATTCAGAGCAACTTCTCTTCTCAACAAAATTTATGTGAGACTTGAAGAGCAGTGTAGGAACGAGCATCACATCAAGACAATTGCTGAGATGTCGTCTAGAAGAAGCTGTCATGATTCCTGAGCAAGGATTCCTAAACAACCTCAAACAGAACCTTTAGGTAATGTTCTTGAAACAAATAAACATACATATATACAGCTTAATAACTGAATAACACCAAAAGCTTGAATTAATACATAATACTACGTACTTGCTAAGTGTTATAAATCAAAACATAGATAAGAAAAATAGAATGAAATATTGTAAGCCAACAAATAAGGATATACAATGCAATACAAATAAAATCTTACCACATTTCATTGAGAATAGCAAGCAACATCAAATTATCCATCAGAATCGTCACTTTCAAACTCAGAACCAGTACTAGTACTTTGTTGGGAGGATTCAGTACTATCAATTGGAGTGTCATCTAAATCTTCTTCATGGGCATCATCGATATCAACTGCACGTGATACAACTGATTCGTTTGAAATGAATGTTTCCTCATCGTCTTCAGATTGTATATCCTCTCTATGTAAGGATTGTATATCATTTTGGATAACTTCAAATGTATCGTTAATTTCAATCTCTTGATACACTTCGTCTTCCATCGAAGAATCATCATCAACATTTATCACTTCGTCCTGTCTCTCTGGCACATCATATATATGTCTATGTTGAAATGGTTGCACAACTCTCCAGTCACGTCCTAATTTAGGATCGTTCATGTACAAAACTTGTTTGGCTTGATCAGCTAGTATATATGAGTCATTTTCATACCACGTTTTAGTCACTTTAATACTAGTAATATATCCCTCCTTTCGTATCCCTTCTTTTCTTTTTCCGAGATCAAACCAATCACATTTGAATATAGTAACATGTCTATCTTTCACATAATCAAGTTGAACAATTTCAACTAGAACACCATAAAAATCTATGATCTCTTCACCATGGTTCCCCTCCACAACAATTCCACTATTTTGAGTTTTCCGGTGACTATCGCGATCTTTAGTTAAGAATCTTACTCCATTAACAATGCAGCCAGAGTACTTTCGAACACACCTATGTGGTGCACATGCAAGTGAATAAAGAGACTCGTTTGCTTCAGATGGATCTTGTTTAAGTAATCTACTCATCTAACAAAATGCTTAAAATAATCAATAACATCATCACAAGTATATGGTGCAACAGCAGACTTTATTTATATTATGTATACGTACCTGGATTTTGAACCATGTAGGAAATTTGTCCTTGTGTTCTTCGTCAATATTTTCACACCCGGATAGGAGAAGCTCTTCCTTGTGCAATCTACAACATTTAATGTGAAGAACGAATTATAAAAGATAAAATAAAATGCTATTTTAATATTGTAGTAAATATAAAAAAAAATATAACAAGCAGCAGTGTACACAAGCTAGTTGTATACACATGCTACAGGTAGAAAAATCATAAATAAAAATACTCACTCAAAATATGGCTTGACTTCTTCACAATTTTGAAAGACAAACCATTGGGTGGCTGTGAGTTCATCCTTTGATAATTCAGCATATGTTGCAGCTCCAAAAGGCCGACAGTTTTGTGAAAAGATTGATAAAGCATCATCAGATGATATATCATTATTTCTATCATCTCGATTAAATCTAGTTTCTACCCCGCGTAAGTACATCGAGCAAAACGTCAAACTCTCTTTTGCAATATATGCTTCTGCGATTGAACCTTCCGGATGGGCCTTGTTGCGGACACTTTGCTTTAGTCCACATAGAAATCTAAACAAAAAAGCACATGTTTAAGTTATTAAACATGAATCCTGCACCACGAAAAAAATAACAGAATGTTTTCTATTACCTTTCGATCGGGTACATCCATCTAAATTGAACAGGACCGCCAATCAACGCCTCATACGGTAGATGGATACATAAATGAACCATAACATCAAAAAAGGAAGGAGGATATATCATTTCAAGCTTACACAAAATCAGACAAATATCAGCTCCCATCTTCTCTAAATCAGATTTCTTCAGCTTTTTACAACATAACAGTTGAAAAAAATTTCCTAACTCCGCCAAGACATCAGTAACTTCCTTCTTTAATGAGCCACGAATACCAACTGGAAGTAACCGTTGTAAGAGTACGTGACAATCATGGCTTTTCATTCCAGATATCTTATCATCAGATGACGTAACAGATCGAGAAATATTAGAGGCATACCCGTCTGGAAATTTAACAGATTTCAGAAACTCACAGAATTCATGCCTTTCTTTTTTTGTCATTACATAACATGCATGTGGCTTTTTATATTTTCCATCACTCGTCATTGTAAGGTGTAACTCCTTGCGGATGTTCATGTCCTCCATGTCTTGTCTTCCCTTGTCAGTATCTTTTGTTTTACGATCTATATTCAGCAATGTTCCCACTATATTCTCGCATATGTTCTTCTCAATGTGCATTACATCAAGATTGTGCCTTAACTTAAGTTTGCTCCAGTAAGGCAAATCAAAAAATATGCTACGTTTAGTCCAATTCAGTTCTTTAGGCATCCGCTTCCTCTTCTTTCTATCATGCTTTCCTGGTATCACATCTTCAAGTCTATGTAACTGCATTAAAACTTCATCACCAGTTAAAGTTTCAGGTGCTTCGTTGTCTTCTCTTTTACCATTGAACTTCTTACTTCTTCTCCAAGCATGATTTTTAGGTAAATAGCGACGATGCCCCATGTAGCACAACTTGTTTCGTAATCTTTGAGAATAGGTTCGTTGGTTACAAAGTGGACAAGCCATATACCCTTTAGTACTCCATCCAGACAGATCACCATACGCAGGAAAGTCGTTAATAGTCCACAAAACAGCAGCATGCATACGAAAAATACGTTTACTGGAAACATCGAACGTTTCAATCCCTTCAACCCACAACTCTTTTAGCTCTGCAACTAAGGGTTGTAAGTATACATCAATGTCTTTTCCGGGTGAATTCTTACCTGGTATTAGCAAAGATAACATCAAGAATTGATCTTTCATGCAATCCCATGGTGGCAGGTTTAATGGGGTTAGAATTACTGGCCACATGCTATATTTAGTGCTCAAGTTTCCAAAAGGATTGAAACCATCAGCAGCTAGAGCAAGTCTGACATTTCTAGGATCATTTGCATACCATGAAAACTGATTGTCAAAGTCTTTCCAGGCTATGGAATCAGCAGGATGTCTCATGTAATCATCATCAATACGTTTCTCTTTATGCCATACCATCTTTTCAGATGTTTTTTGGGACATAAAAAGGCGTTGAAGCCTAGGTTTCAATGGAAAGTACCTTAAAACTTTATGTGCTATCTTCTTCCCCGCATCACCATTGCTTTTCCATCTAGAAGTTCCACAAGTTGGGCAGTTTTCCAAGTCTTTGTTTTCCTTCCAAAATAAAACACAATCATACTTGCAAGCATGTATACATTCATATCCCAACCCCAAGTCGCGCAGTATTTTTTTAGCTTCATAATATGAACCTGGAAGTGTCTCACCATTCGGAAAGGATAACTTCATCAACTTCAAGAGCATATCAATTGCTTTATTGCTCAGCTTGTTGTAGACTTTAATGTGCAACAACTGAATGACAAAAGATATTCTTGAAATTTGCTCACAACCAGGATATAATTTTGTTTGAGCATTTTGCATCAATGACTCAAGATATAGTGGAAGACCACCACTATTAGAACTATCTTCTGCTGACATATTATCATTATCTTGATGATTGTATTGTTGACCTAGATCAAATAACATCTCAGTAATACCATCTTCTTCTTCTTCTTCTTCATAGACATTATCCGTTCCATTCCCTGTATAGGTATGATTTTTTTTTGAAGTTCTTGAACCTGATTCTTCACCATGATAAAACCAAGTATTATATCCTGGATCTATTCCGCGCTCCAAAAGATGAATCTTAACTATTTCTTTATGTTGAGTTCTGAGGTTCAAACAACCAACACAGGGACATCTAATCACACCCTCTCGACCATTATAGTCTTCAACAAATGTCATAAATTTTTTTACCCCATCCACATAAGCATGGGACCATTTAATTTCATGCATCCAACTCTTATCCATTTAAGATCCCACCTATTATATAGAAAAGTTTATAAGAAAAACAAGGTTAGAAAATAGTTTAATGAATATTTATATTATAAACAATATCAGTCATTAAGATATCAAGTCCCTGTGCATATAGTATGACTTAGGATCCATTTTTATATTTTTGACAACACAAATCAGCCTTAAAAATAAATACCGTGTGCATCAGAACCTTTTGGATCTACTTTTATAAAAAATAAAATGTAAACTTAAAATATCATCATGATGTTTTTAGGAGATCATGTTGTAGTGTTGTACTAGAAATATATTAAAACCAATGTAGTAGGACAGTTTCAAAATGTAAAAATAATCCGTAGAGTTTGTAGTATTACATTTTAAAACTACCTATATAGTCACTTTAAACAAATCAAGATGTTGAATACCAAAAAACACCCTAACTTAAACTCAAATTTCAAAAACTAGGTTGGCTCTTGTAATTAATAAACCAAAAGATCTCTGATCAAATGATAGAGCTGGATCACCAGCAACTTATATTCACATACTAATTGAGAATATCCAAACAACCACTATGAAACTCAATCCATAAACTAAGATACATATGTGTGGTATATATGATGTAAACTGTAAGAACATGACATTTTGTAAGAAGATGGCATATTGATTATAGGTCAATTTGAACACCCACCCTACTGTTATTGAGAACATTAAGGGTGGATTAGAACATAAAAACCACCCAATGGAACTAAAAAATCACCATATGTTTAATGCAAAAACTCACCTTGCTCCTGTAATTAATTAAACTAAAAAATCTGGTGTAAATCAAAGATTTGGGTTACATTAACCAAAAATTACTCTCAATAATGATAAGAGTATAGGCAAAACAAACATTAAGTTCAAGGTACGACAAGCTTGGTGCAGTCTTTTGTCAATACTTAAGCAAAAATTGGGTAAAAAAGCATCAGAAACAAAAAACATTAATATGGCATGTTCAAGTTATCGTAATGGCTTAAAATCTACCGCTACTAACCTTACCCTTCGTAGCAATTGAGAGTCACGGCAGACCGGCCTCCAACCTTCAACGCCCTTCCACAGCTGCACTCTGCCACTCTCAGCCGTCCATGAATTTCCGGTGCAGTTGGAATCGTCAATCGAAGGAAGATATAATTTGGCCACGAATTGGATTTGTTTTTGTAGGTATATGAATCCGGATTAGTTGATTGGTAAATACTATCGGTTAATTGAAAGACAAATTTGGTTACGAAAGACAAATTTGTCGGATTTGCCCGTTCAAGGGGATGGCAACGAAGAGGCAGGGCTTCATCAGTAAAAGATGTATTTGATTCAAAAGGCTTTTTTTTCTTTCCAGATTTTAGTAGTTTTCAATTAACCTCTACAGTACACAAGCATGACCTCTTCAATAGGGGTTTGCAAAAATTACTCCAACTAATCCGTAGCCGGCACACTACAACCATTATTATTATTATTATTATTATTATTATTATTATTATTATTATTATTATTATTATTATTATTATTATTATTATTATTATTATTATAAATACTACTACCTCCGTCTCATTTTATGTGTCTTAGTTTGACTTGGCACGGTTATTAATGAAATGGTTGAAAAAATAAAAGTTGTTGTTGAGATTTGAGTATATTAAAGTGAAATAGTGTAGACCACATATTTCTTTCCAAAAGAGGAAAGTAGACACTTATTTTGGGACATCTCAAAAAGGAAAGTAGGACAGGTAAAATGGGACGGATGGAGTATTATTTTTGTTGTTGTTATTTTGTCTCATATTATATATATATATATATATATATTAATAAAAAGTAAAATTATGACTTATTTGCCATGTTTAGTATCAAAAGCTAGATCTAGTGGAAAAAATTGTCATAGGATGTTCTTACTTGGCCTGTAATTTGTTGGTCTGAACTGGTCCGATCTGGTGTATCTGATCTCTTTGTATTTTTATAACTATCCAAGTTTGGGCTGGTCTGTTCTGATCTGGTCTGGTCTAGAACATATTGTTGTCCAAGTAAAAGCATCCATAGTCTAGTCTAAGAGTAGTTAATTTTGATACATTTATTATAAGTAAAATGATAAATAATATGAGGTCACAACATCATTATATGTTAAATAGTAATTTTTCATCTATAAATTTTTCTCTTAAATTTGTTAGAAAATACCTCGTTAAAAATTAAAATATGACACGTTTGATTTCATTGTCATCAAAAGGTTAATCAATGACAAAATAATATTGTCATTATTTTATAAAAAAATTAATGACAAAATATGATTTTGTCATAATAATAAAAAATTACTTGACGCTAGTTATCGTCATTAAATGTGTCCAAGTTGTCATAAAAAAAATTCCCTCCAAATTTTTGGCGTCAAATTTTGGCGCTCAAAATTTAAGTGACAAATTCAATATTATCGTCATAGTAAACATCAATAAGTGACGAAATACAAGAGTAAAAATGACAGATGATAATATTGTCATAACAAATCATTTTACTGTGACGAATTTGAATTTTGTAGTTATTGTTTAATATAATATGACAAATTTTTGTGTGTCACACAAATTTTTGTCATAAAATGTGTGATTTCTTGTAGTGATACTTTATATGGAGTATATATGTAGGCTCCTTTAATTTAGCAGGTGATTGGGCAGGAGGAGTAGCAGTTGCGATCAACTGTGATGGATTTCGTGATCTCTTGCCCCATGCTACTAGAGTCAAGTGCTTGTCCGATACCAGATATTTTTTCCCTTCCTAAGATTCATATGTTATTCTTTTAGTTATTAATTTAATTAATTTAATTTAGAGATAGTGTTAACTAATGAATTAAATATCCTATAGCTAAAAGCACTACACTGGAGAGAGAAATTTCTCCCGCCTAAGTGCTCATGGCCTAATTGGAATTTCACCCGTACCGCAAAAAAAGATACACGCTTCTCCTCTTCCGCCGCAGAGTCACCTTCTTCTTCCTAAAAATAATTTCAACCAGCGAATAATTTCCGCTACAGTCTCCTCTTCACTCGCACATGGCTAGTTGAAATTTAGTTGAAATTATTCGCTGGTTGAAATAAATAATTTCAAGAGCTAGCGAGACTTTCATATATATATATATATATATATATATATATATATATATATATATATATGTATGTATGTATCGGCTAGTACTCAAGATGTATTGGATCAGAGGTAGTACATACCTACCGTATAAGTGATACTGATCGAGATAGTGAGATACCCGAAAGCTAATACTTATTCTAGCCATTTATAGATACTGATAAAGTGTGTACTGGGCTCGGTTGGCAAATCCCATTATTTATTATTAATAATGTTATTATGTCATTATCATATATAATATTCTTTTATACGCTCAGTAGTCCAAGAGGCCTTTTGTGACCTAATTTCTAGTCTATCTATGAGTTTTTTGTGAGAGAGAAAGAGACACAAAGTGGAGTAATACGTCTCGACAAGAACTGATATTTTATTGGATAAAAGTACTAATTTTGTATGAGGAAACTTCATTTTTTTACAAGTGAAGACATATTTTGCTTTTAAGTTTGCAAACTTTGCTTTACATTTATTATACACGTCTTGTTATTCTCACAAAGTTTATAATGTTGTGCATTTATACCCAACCCAGTTTTGAGACCCATTGAATCCGGTTCTAGGTCCAAAGTTTTAGACTTATTCGGTATACGGGTCGGGACTGGATCCTTTATTAACTTAGCGGGTGTAAGTCTGGAATTGGTCCGGGTCCAATTCTGGCCCGGGCTCGACCCATTACTCGTCGTCAAACTCCGGATCATAGCACACATGTTTGGCACAACCGTACTGAGCGGTCTACATGGCCATAGCATGGTTTGTTCGGCCATTTTGGATCTTCACTAATTTCAGGCAAAATTAAAATTAGTTATTAAGTGTAACTTATTTAAATAACTTATTAAGTGTATAGTAGAGTATTAAAATAACTTGTCAAGTGCAACTTATTTAAAATTAAAAATTAAAATCACGTCTTATGTAAATTACACTAAACTAAATATAGGCAATTTTAGGCACTACTTATTAGCTAAATTCTTCTAAACTAATTATAGGCAATTTTGGGTACTACTTATTAAGTAAACTACTCTAAACTTATTAGATATTAAGTAAATAACTCTAAAATAACTCTAACTTATTTATTAATACTATTAAGTGTAACTTATCAAAAATACAAATTAAAATCACTTATTAAGTTAAATACTTTAAACTAATAAAGGAAAATTCTAGCTAGGCAATTATTGCAAAAAATTAATCATTTAACTAAGTGGACAAATTACTCTAGATTAAGTCCATTTATTTTAGTAAGTGGTGTAATCTAACCTAATCTAAAATATTATAAACACCAATAGCAGTTGGGGTTTAACCGGAATGTGAAAAATGTTGGTGTAACTTAGCAGCAATTATTAGTTGGAGAATATGAATAATTCATTGTACTTTCGAATGGATTGACATTTGTATCCCTTTATTTCCGTTAGTTTTGACAGAGTCTATGATTGAAAACTTCCGTGTCCTTAAGCAAGTAGGGAAGAAGTGAATTTTAAAAATTAGAATGGGTCAACTGCCAAGCCAGGCATGCAGCCTACTAACTCCCCGTGGGTTATTTACTTGTCATATGCATATGTAGAAGGAACTGCGAATGTTAATTAAAAACGAACCAAAACAACAATTTTAATCTTATTAAAAAAGAAATTAAAGGATCATACAAAGTTAAACTTCAATTAGATGGATGAAAACGGTCTTTTATTTAATTGCCTTTTGTGATTAATTGTCGAACACAATTGGTAGGAACATGTTTTTTTATTCGACCTCCGTCGCATTGAACTTTGATTTAGGTGAGAAATAAATAAAAGTAAAAATTGTGTGGCTAAAGTTTATACAGGAGAGAAATAAGCATAATTATAAATTAATTACTTTAATAGGAAAATGACAAAGTTATTGAGGTAATAAAAAAGAAAGTTTGCAAAATCCAATAAGACAGAGAGAGTATAATTTTGGTAAATATTTGTCCTTCACCGTTTTCACTACTCTGTATTTTGGTTTTGACCTCAAGCTCTACTTTCTTTTACCGGGGGTTCGACCTGTAATGTCATAACAATTCAGCGTTCTCTTTAAATTAATAAAACCATGCAACTTAGGATTGGTACACCGTACGATGGTGTAGCAATCTCACAGTATAATTTGGGCACAATGACTATTAATAAGAAAATTGATGATCAATCTTTGGAAAAGGTTATCATCTTCCTCCATGATGTACTCTTACAGTCTTACCCTGCATGAATTGTTGTATGTGGCGAAGGTCTCGAGAGTAACAATTAACAAGTCTATGAAATGAATTTTACTCAACGGTTTAATAGACTTACGTGTACATCTTTTTCATCACATCATTTTTCCATTTAATTTTTACTATGTATTTCTTTAGTTTGCTTTTATATACTTGCGTCTAAACTATTACATAGCTACTTCACTCCCGTGCAAAGTATTACATGAGGGGGATAACTGGATCTGGGCAAACTTTCGCTATGAGAGAATCCCAAATTTTTGTTTCCTGTGTGGGATTCTTGGTCATGCTGATCGTTTCTGTCCCTCTAATCCACATAGTGATAGATGCATGGATCGGGGAGAAGCCTTATGGGTCATGGTTACAAGCTGATACGAGGCGGGGTGGATCGCATCCGGGTAACAGGTGGCTCATTCCTAGCAATAACAAGCCAAGAGTCATGAGGGATGAGGGATCAGATTCCAATAAAGCAATAAGTGAACATGAGAGATATATAGTGGAAGGACTCCTCTCAGATCAAAGGGAAAGGATACTGCTACAGCTCAGAAGCACCAAGAAAGCGCAGGGTCACTGATTAGGTTAGCGAGGAGGGGGCACATGCAAGTATGGACGTGGATGAAGCTGCTCCAAAAAACTTGGAAGTGGCGGTGCTGTACGGGCAGCACCGCAAGTAGTTGAAGAATTTGAGGATAACCACGAGGAACCTTTAGCGGTGGCTGGTCAAACCATTGTTTTCTTGTCTGGTCAAACTGCTTTATGTTCTTCTTTTGATTTATCGTTGTCTCAAAACTCTTTTATGTTTTTTGCATATTTAGTTAAATACGGTACGAGAATTAAACGAGGTTTAATACGTACGTGTTTTATTTGGAAACAAGAATGAAAAAGACGGTCAAAAATCTTACTCTATTTAAAAAGATGTGGAAAAACTGGTCATTTTCCCTCCAAAAGACACGGGTAAAATATGGATCACAACCGGGTCACTTATGCTACTGCAACATTAGCAATTGATAAGATGTAGTACATTGGGAGAATAATTATCTTGGCGTGTTTAATACGCTACTTGACTTTTCCCGCAAACAGGTGTAACTGGACAATCTGTCCTATCAATGAACATATGTACGTAGTATCTATTATCTAGAGAATATTAGTGTGTTGCGGAGTATTATTAGATTAGATTAGATAGTACACCAACACAAAAGATAGCATAATACGTAATACACAGCTCACCCTCAAGTCTCAATTTCCCTATATATAAATACCCTTCGGCCAATAATCTCAACCCAAGGAGCTCACACCTTTCTTCTTTTTGAAGCTCTCAATCACCGGAGATATATACGGAATATAAGGGAAATCGGCGCTGCTAGAAGATCGATTTGGTACATTAAGTCGTTGGTAGGTGCTAAAGTGTGGGATGAATGGGATGTAGTTAGCAAGAATGTAAAAGATTATGCCTCTCCGCTAGATGATCGGTGAAGCTGTATGGATCTGAACTGCTTTGATAGAAATAAGTTGTGGGTGAAGCCAAGAGACAATGATATGCTTTACTGGATACTACCCATTGGGGAGAATTGATGTTGAAATTTATTCTAGGATTTTTTAGGTTTGATTAGGAACTTCAATTTTTATTTTTTAACTTTAGGGCAGAACTAGAATGTGAGACATTTGTTTATGGCCTTTTTATTCCAATATTACTAAAAATAGGATACAAGATAAAAAAGTGATCTCTTTTTTAAAATTCAAAAAATGTGACCAACATCACAATTAATCCTACAATGCAAAGTGACTTCGGACAAAGTGACTCCGGCCAAAGTGACCCCTCCGACCACAGTGACTGCTCCGCCGACCACAGTGACTGCCCCGCCGCCACAGTGACTCCGCCGCCACAGTGACTCCGTCGCCACAGTGACTCCGCCGCCACAGTGACAGCCCGCCTACTGACACAGTGACTGCCCGCCTACTACAACAGTGACACCGCTGCCAGCACCGCCCAATTTCCGCCGCCACACAGCCCAATTACCTTCGGCAGCCACCAACACCGGCCAACAACTACAACCACTACACCCAAGCCCCTGCCTCACCCACCCCCCCAATCCCACCTACTGTCAGCAGTCCACCACCGATCAACATCTCTCTATCCATAGCCCTCCACCACCGGCCAACATCTTTCCGTCCAAAGTGTAAATAATGTGTATCCTTCAATTGTAAAGCTACGTATTACATCAGTATTTATAAGACTAGAAGTAGAGTTACAGTCTAACTCTATCAGATTGGTTACAACAGATATATACATACGGTTATATCTAGATAAACATTAGCTAAAGATTATTAAGTAAGGATAATAACAAATTAACTAGTATATATCTTTTATACGCCCCCGCAAGATGGAGGATCCGTTGGAGACGCCAATCTTGGAACGAAGATGAAGAAAAGGTGTCCGTCCCAGAGGCTTGGTTAGAATATCAGCACGTTGAGCTTTCGATGGGACATGATGTACACATAAAGAACCTGCCATAACCAAATCACGAACAAAGAAGTAATCTAAAGACAAATGTTTCATGCGAGAGTGAAAAACTGGATTTTTGCAAACATAAGTGGCACTCAAACTGTCAGTAAATAGACGTGGAGTTGCACTAATAGGGATGGCCAACTCATGTAGTAAATGTTGGACCCATAGAAGTTCCGCCGTAGCATTGGCGATGGCCCGATATTCGGCCTCAGTTGAAGACCGAGATACTGATTTTTGAAGGGCCGATTTCCATGAAATCACATTAGAACCCAAATAAAGAATGTAAGCCGTAGTTGAACGACCTGATGTCGTGGTACCACCCCAGTCTGCATCTGAAAATGCAGTAAGATGAGGAGGGGAGCCAGAGCGTAAGAGAAGACCATGACACACGGTTCCTTTGAGATACCTTAAAACCCGTTTGGCAGCAATCCAATGAGCTGCAAGCGGACCATGCATATATTGAGACAGGCGGTTAACACAAAATGAAATATCTGGACGAGTGAGACCCAGGTATTGTAGGAGCCCAAGTAGACGCCGATAATCAGAGATGTCAAGAGCGTGGGAGGGATCAGCTGATGGCAAGCGTTCATCAGTGGCCATAGGAGTTGAAATTGGTTTGGCACCGTCCATGTGAAATTTGGTCAAAATATCAGAAATGTATTGAGATTGAGTGAGAAACATGCCAGAAGAAGTAGTAATAACCTCAATACCCAAAAAATGATGTAAGACTCCCAAGTCTTTTAGAGAAAAACGGGCAGCAAGTGTAGTCACAAACTTATCAATAAAGGATGGATTACTTCCTGTGAGAACAATGTCGTCGACATAAACTAGAAAGTACATGGTGATACCTTGAGATGCATAGATGAATAAGGATGGATCTGCCTTTGATTTGCGGAAGCCAAAATGAATGAGAAATGTAGAGAGTTCTACATACCATGCACGAGGAGCCTGTTTTAGACCGTATAAAGCCTTCTTGAGATGGCACACATGAGTCGGATGATGAGTATCAATATAACCCGGTGGTTGATCAAGGTAAACAACCTCATGTAGTGTGCCATTAAGAAAGGCATTGTTAATATCAAGTTGACGGATAGACCACCCATGATGCAATGCCAAGGAGAGAACAATGCGAACGGTGACTGGTTTCATGACTGGACTAAACGTTTCAAAATAATCACGCCCGGCCTCTTGTGAGTATCCCTTAGCCACAAGACGAGCTTTGTATCTATCAATCGAACCATCCAATTTTCGCTTGATTCGAAATATCCATTTGCACCCAACAGTTTGTTGACCGGGATTAGGAACAAGATCCCAAGTACCATTTTTTTGTAACGCCGAGAACTCCTCATCCATTGCTAGTTTCCAGAGTGGGTCCTTGAGAGCCTGTGTGACAGTCCTGGGTTCAAGGGTTTGAACAGGGGAATGAACGGTTGACATGTTAATAAAGGAAGGACCATAGTACTTTGGATTAGGATGTTTGACTCTGGTGGGTCGAGAAGACGGCGGAGAAGAGTCGGGTTGGGAAACTGGAGGGGAAGATGTATTTTGGTTGGTTGGGGTATCATGGGATACGGGTGATATAATATGGGTGTTGGAAGAGATATTTGAGGATTGTTGATTGGATGGAGAAGTTGGCAGTGTGGGGGAATGTGTTTGGATGCTAGTGGTAGGCTGACTAGATAAGGATGAGGCAGGATAAGTAGAGGAATTATCTGGAGGAGTGGTAGCCAACACATTGGTGCGAGATATAAGAGGCACCGAAGAGGAGGTTGTTGACGTATTGGATGGAGAAAAAGAAGGATATATATGATGGATGAATTTGACATGGCGTGAGATATAAAGACGGTGAGAAGACGGGTCAAAACATTTATAAGCCGACTGTGATACAGAATAACCCAAAAATATACAAGGGACAGATTTGGGTTGCAGTTTAGACTAGTATAAGGGCGTAACCAAGGAAAACACAAACAACCAAATGGTTTTAATTTTTGGTAGTCAGGTTCAGTCTGAAACAAACGTTTGTATGGGGAGTCATAATTTAATAATGGCGTAGGCAGACGATTAATTAGATAAACCGCTGTTTGAAAGGCGTGAGGCCAGAATGTAAGGGGAAGAGCAGCCGCGTGTAAAAGGGACAAACCGGTCTCAACAATATGTCTGTGTCGACGCTCAGCAGTCCCGTTATGTTCGGGAGTGTGAGGTGGGGTGGTGAGATGAGAAATGCCAGATAAATTAAGCATGGGCAATAATTTGATAAATTCACCACCATTGTCAGAAAAAATAGTGACAATTTTCTGATTGAGTTTATGTTCAACTAGACGTTTGAATTGAGGGAAAATAGTGGAGACCTCAGATTTCCTTTTTAGAGGATACAACCAGCTATATTTTGTGAAATGATCAACAAATATAACATAATAGTAGTAACCATCACAAGACATTTGTTTTGTACTCCAAACATCGGTGTAAACTAGATCTAGTGGACGAGAACTAGTAAGAGAATTAACTGCAAAAGGTAATTTATGACTTTTATTAATATGACAAGAAGTACAAGTAAAGTCACGAATGGCCTTGGATGATACATTCATGTCACATTTATTCAATAGAGTAACTAGAATCTTATTTGATGGGTGTCCCAGGCTATGATGAAGATGAGACACGGAAGACAAACTGGTAGCATTGATTGTAGGTGAACCAACAGTGGTGGGAGCATAATAAACACCGTTGACATTTCTACCCCTCATGATGTGAGTGCCGGTTTTCTGGTCCTTCACAACAAAATAAGAAGGAAAAAATTCCACAGAAACTTGATTAGTTTGACAGAGTTTAGAAACCGAAACAAGATTTTTGTTTAAGTGAGGAACACAGAGGACTTGATTAAGAGAAAGAGGACGGGTAGATGTCGAAACAGTGGTTTGACCAATATGAGTGATAGGAAGACACGTACCGTTTCCCAGGCGGATTTCATCAGGACCATCATAAGTTGAAAACTCCTGCAAGGAAGCCACTCCGGAAGCTGCATGATGAGACGCTCCGGAGTCAAAAAGCCATGGTTGAGAAGATCCAGAGAGATCACTGTGAGTCATAGTATTGACAACAGGCGGTGTATGAATTTGATTATCCCGTAAAAATCGGGCAAGTTTGCGGCAATCTTTGACTACATGACCTGAAAAGTTACAAAAACGACAAACTGCACGTGAGCGGCCAGCCGCAGGGACTGGAGAAACACTACCAGAAGAGGACTGAGTCGGACGGTGTCCGGAGTTGCTGCGATGCCCAGAGAGGTGATCTCGCTTGCGGAAATCAGATAAAGCAGACCCAGATGAAGGCTGACTTTGAGTAATATTAGCGGTAGGCAGAAAAGAGGGTCCATCATCTTCAGAATCTTTGAGTAAACGTTCATGATCCGTGAGAATCTCTGAAAGTTCAAGCATGGATGTGGGTGTATTACGTACCCGAAGTGCACTGATAATAGATCGGTAATCATCTCCTAACTGATTGAGAATAAATATCTGCAAATCAGTGTCAGAAACAGGATTTTTCGCCAATGCCAAATCACCGGCAATCTCTTGCATGTCTTTCAAGTAAGTCGGAATGGATCTGTTGCCACGGGGATTACGAGAGAGTTTGCTTTTGAGTGCAAGAATACGACCGGGAGAGGCATTTGCATAACTGGTGAGAAGAACATCCCAGGCCTCCTTTGCGGTGGTAACGGCCGAGAGAAGGGGTTGAACAGGTTCGGTGCAGCCCCCAAGAAACGCGCTAATAAGGATCTGATTCTGGCGGAACCACGTGGAATAGCATGGATTTGGAACCTTCTTGGCATCATCGTTGAACTGAGACGGAACAATAAGAGAACCATCGATGTATGGAAGAAGATCAAACCCGATGAGAGTGGCTTCAATTTGCCGGCGCCATACCGGAAAGTTGGTTGCAGATAATTTGATGGGAAAGTTCGTTGGGGCGTTGAGTTGAACAAGAGTGGTAGCTTGTGTGATCTCCATGAGGAGGAGACGGAGAAAAAAAAAATGTAGAGAAGAATTCTACAAGGCTCTGAATACCATGTAAATAATGTGTATCCTTCAATTGTAAAGCTACGTATTACATCAGTATTTATAAGACTAGAAGTAGAGTTACAGTCTAACTCTATCAGATTGGTTACAACAGATATATACATACGGTTATATCTAGATAAACATTAGCTAAAGATTATTAAGTAAGGATAATAACAAATTAACTAGTATATATCTTTTATACAAAGCCCCCAAAAATCTACTCGCCAAAGTGACATCACCACTAGACCTTCGTCACTCCAGTATGCGGTGACCAGCACCACCGTGGCCCGCAAGGCACATCCCGGCCACCCCCACCACGGTCCACAACGCACACCCCAACAACCCCCATCTGGCCCTGTCACTATCACTCATCAGTTCCCCATCGCCCCACCACCAGACTATTGTCTAGACTGAAACCTTAGACAAATGGATCTGAAAAATCTAGCTGTGGGGATCCAGAAATCTGCAGATCTTGACATGATTTTGAGCGGCGGCTATGGAGACGCTCCATCAAAGAAGACAACGACGGAGGTTCTCCAAAGCGGCGGCAATCGAGACACACCGTCGAAGATGAAAACGAAGGAGGTGCTCTGAAGCGGCGATGCTAGATTTACGGTTGAGAAGAAAGGAGAAGAAGAATAAGAAGAAGAAGAAGAAGAAGAAGAAGAAGAAGAGTAGCGGCGGCTGAATAGGAGAAGGAGCGATAGTAGTATGATGCGTCAGAGGTGGTGGAGGCCGTCCGAATGGAGATGAGCGCAGAGCTGGGAACTGGATGGCAGTGGATGCGAGATGCGGAGATGGAGAGAAAAGGCCGCCCGGGTCACTTTTTGGTCAAAATCTAATTTAGTCATATAATTGTGAATTGAAACTCAAATAGTATTATTTGGGCAATTATTTCTTTGTTTATCATAGATAATTAATGCAAAAACACTTACCAAAAAGAGAAATTGTAACAAACTTTTAAATACATCCCAAAAAGGAAAATGTAGCAAACTTTAGAATACGGAGAAAGTATTTATAATTTAAAACAGTTAAACAATTAGATGTAAAAATAAATAAATTAGGATTTGGCTTTTATATATTTGAAAGCATTTCCACACATTTCCCTTTGATCGAACAAATGAAAAATATTAGGAAATCCAAAAAATAATTTTATTTAATTGTGTTTCTTCATACATTATTTTGTATTGTTATAGCTAACATGATGGATAATATGGTCCCAAAGTTCTATTATGAAATAATTACGAGAGTTCATGTGATTGAAACATAAATGCGTCGATTGTATAATTCCAAAACGTTTATGTTCTACTTTGTTGTATTTAATTTGTTTTTGTTTAGCGGTCATTTGTCTTGCTCTATAAATGATAAATCTATTAAAATAATTGTACATAGCGCAATTATTAGTTATTAAATTATTTATATTGTTGAATTATCCTATTCTATGCACGAATGAAATGACAGATTTACGGGGGTTTTCACTTTTCATGCCGCCCTTCTCATAACACGAGGCTGATTTATGATCGGAAAGCCCTGTTCCAACTTCCAAATGAACCCAATTTTGAAAAAAGTGGGGGCCAAGTAAAAACCCATTTTTTATTTTCTTTAAATTGTTGTAATTTTTTAAATGTACTCCCATTTTGAAAACCTCCTCCGGTTGAAACTTCAATTTCAAAACTTTATACATATACAATGTGGCGTCATATAAAAGATCGTGAAAAGTAACGAATTTTGATATTACCTCTGTCGCGGAAAGGTTCGTCAAATTGTTTTTTCTTGATCAATGATTGTTAACTTTAGACGATGAGTTTAATTATTATATTTGTATATAATTTATGAATTTTATACTTTTATGAAAGTTTTTTGAATAAGGAACATTTTGATATAATTTTTATATTCAAAATAATTTCGTCTTCCAAAAAACACCTTCAAAATAATTTTGTATTAAAAGATATCATTGGTCAAAGTCGATTTCATTGACCAAGAAAAGAGAAAGTTTTTTGTAAAAATTAGAGTATATATAAAAGAGTTAGAACACTTAAAGAGCCCGTTTGGTAACACTGAAATCGGCTAAATCGATTGCCTCTGCTGAAATTTATGAAGTTCTGGCCGAAGTTGGTGTATTGGCTGATTCTCTTGATTTATGGAAACGCTATATTTAAAATATAATTTATTAATAAAATAAAGAAAAAATTATGTGAAAAATGGCTAAAATTGTCATCTGCAGGAACTTCAGTCAATACAGCTAGAAAAGTAACTCTAACCTTACATGTTCTTATTACGGAGTATTATACAATTCAACCCATGATAAGCCGGAAAAACAAACGTACACTAAATAATAATCATATTTTTATTTTGCATGGATCTCATTTCTTTTCATTCTCTACACTTATTTGGAATTCCTTCATCTGATTCACTTCTTTTTATTTTAATTTTTTTTCTCTATTTGCAATGCCCCTATTCACTTCCTACTATTATATTTTTATCCAATAATAACATTTTAGTTATAAAACTATTAATATGATATTATTATTTTGGAAAATATTTTGTACCATGCATCGCACGGGTGAGATACTAGTTCGTTGAAAAATACGTTGACTTTTAAAAACCGTGTGAATACGTATACGTGTATAATATGGTATATGTTACAAAAATTCGGACAAAAAATACGGGGTATTATTTTGAACATTTAAAGTATATACTTCACAAAATAAGATATATAGTAAAAACAAATAAAAGTTTATTGGTTTAAAGTTACTTCATTGTTTAACAAATACAAACAGAAAGTTAGTTCTCTTTAAAAAAAAAGCAGAGTTAGTTGATTTGAATAAGAAACACCAGTATGGCTAGAGTTGTTGACTGATCTGATCTGTTTCCTAAATTAACAAGAATAGCTCGGAGCATGGCATTGCATGCACACAATTGGTAGTTCTTTGTTTTGAGATACATTGGAAATAAAAATTGGTACGAGTAGTTCTTTGTGGTATTCGGTTTTTATATCTTAAATGGCTATTAAGCTTTTATCATGCATGCTGCTGTTTGGAAATGCTTTTGCCTTTCTTATCAACCATAAATTGTGACTTTCTTAGCAAATTACTGACAAATTAGCTTCTTATGATCACACCTGGCTTTTTTTTTTCTTGGGGGGGGGGGGGGGGGGGGGGGAGGGGAGTAAAAAGGTGTTTGAAAATCAAGCATTTTTTTTGGAAGAACATATTTTTTGGTGTTTTTTAATAGCATAATAATTTTTTAAATTAGTTTGTTTACATAAAAATTTAAAAAAGGTGATAAGAAAAAACACTTCAAAGTTATCACCAACAAGTACTTTATATTTTCTTTCAAAACACTTCAAATATAGTTTGTTACACTATTTGTTTACTTTAGGAGCATTCTCGGCTTACACAGGCTGTGTGAGAGTCAAATGTGGTCTATGAGAAAATATAAGTCAAAGCAAAACTAGGATAGAATCACCCAGCACTTATCCCACCTCGGTAAATTTTTGGGCTAAAAAAAGGATAGAACTGCATTGTTTATGTATACAGGGGCGGAGCCAGGACACTGGGCCGGTACAAAGAATATTTTTGAAAAAAAATTTACTCGGAATTTTTTACCCCCTAAAAATTTAGACATTTTTAAAATTTGGGCTGGGCCATGGCCCGGGATGGCCACCCCTGTCTACGCCCTTGTATGTATACCTCTCAAACACTTACCTTTTAGGTCTCTCTCTCTGCATTCTTTATGTATACCGTTGAGTGTCCATTTTTGAGTAATTATATTAAATTTTATTTTATTCTCAATGCTTGATAGGAAACTGATGGTGGTTATTAAATTGAAGTGTCCTGCTTATAAAACTGGTACGATAAAAGCTTCTTATTCTGGAGCGCACTGGGATTCAGTGAATGTTCCGAGAACCGGGGGCTTGGTCAAGCAGGTAGTCAGTTTCTTTTTCGTTGAGGTTTTTGAGTTATTGAATATTTTGCATTATTAGTGATTGTGTACTTGTGTACTTGAAGAGGTGCAGCGGAAATCTGAAATGAGAAATGAGAATAGTCAAAATGGTGTTTTTATTTGGTTTTGAGATCTCCTCTCTAATAATTTAGATACTAATCTGTTTGAACTAGGATGCTTTGATGAAGTGTACCAAAATGTATGTCATGTAAGGTGAAAGAGGTTGAGCAAAACCCTAAAAAACAAAATGCTCCTGTTGTTAACAAACTAGACTGATTTTCTTTGTCCCTTGGGATTCCCATAGTTATATAGCTGGATTGGAAAATGCTTTATAGTTTCCATTTTGTAATCTATGAGAGTTTTATTGCTTGATATTAACAGAGACGACTTGCGCGTTCCCTCATCACTATATTTTTTTACATACGCGTAACTGCGTAAGGTCAGGGACCACCTCCAATGTTGCAAGAGTTATTCTAGAGTGTTAGTTACACACAAAAGAACCAAAGGGCGTAAATATAATTTTTTTCTTATGAAGATCCTTTTATGAAATGGTAATTGTTAGTTGTTACATTATTTTCCTTTTCTATTTTTTGGGAGTTTTTCATGAATTGATAGTTTAAATTATGGAGTTTACTTTTCCCAGCATTAATATATTTTATTTTGACGAGGTGATACCTTTTTGTAGAGTGAACTTTAAAATTTGTTGGAGTAAGTCCCATCATTTAATTTTTTTGTTAGTCTGTGCATGCACTGTTTTGTTTTTTTTCTGGAGTAATACATCGTATAAATTTTATTTCCTGTATGTGGCAACATATGCTCACTTTTATGGTACATATATATGCATGTATTCATTATTGTTTTTGTTGCTGTTAGCTATAAGTAAACAAAATCCAAGCATGTTATTTTATATCTAAACGTGTAGCCCAGAAATGTCAAAATTTTGTTACAAAATGTTTAATATCAGTGTTACCAATTTTGAAAAACATGTGGCATAAAGTACTTATTAAACTGTTACAAAATGTAATTAGTCTTGCAAAAAAACATAGAAAATATGTTACATATACATTAAAAAT